GCCGGGATGGGTCCGCGGAAGCGGACGGCCTGCTGCGCCATCCTGCAACACGCACACAACAAACGGGTGTCGTGGGACGGAAAAACAAAGAAAGAAACAACAACCCCAAAAGGAGCGATCGCGGAGTCGGGAACCACCCCGACGGGATTTGGAGAGACACACGTACGAGTTGAATCTGTTCCGTACCCGCGCTCGCGACTCACGGCTCAAACTAATCGATTACGACTCACTGACATCCATCAGAAAACGGGCAAAACACGTTGAGGATGCCTGAAAAGGTCTCCTTTTGGAAAAAGGCTGAAAAGCGAGCATTTCAACAATTGGGCCGTCGCCACGTCATCTCATCAAGGGTGAAAACAGCCGTCGTTTCATTTGGTCATCGATCAGTTGTCGATTGGTCAGAGGTACAACATCGTCGTCAATCGTTAACTTCAAGGAGAAGCAGCGGCATGCGCTCGTGCAGTCCACTTCGCGTTCAATGTCGACTTTGGCCCATTTTGCCCATTTTGGCCCACTGTTGATTTGAGTGCGACAGAGCATCATTTTGTCTTTCGGAGATGAATATTTCTGGAAAGGGGTTTGCACTAGGGCTCGTAGCTTCAGCCAAACCGACTCCATTTTCGCCTCAATTTCAAATGAGTACGTCTTAGGCAAGAATTCCCTCTTGCGAGGATGGAGAAGCGAAACACTGAAGTTTTGAGATTTGGCATGGCGTGCTTTAAAAGAGATGCACTTGGCGCGTTGTGGGCGGTCGACTGCATTTCCAAAAATCCAAAATCCAATGAAATGGTTTTTGTTTGTCCGTGACCCGCGGCTCTCGGGAAGTGCGTCGTTGGGTGAGTGCAACGCTGCCACTCCAAGTTGAAGCGCGTGCTGCCGGTGAAGGGCAAACGATTGTTTTGGACTTGCTTGCTTGTTTGTTTTCTTTTCGGGCGCGGGTGCCTCGAAAACGCCAAACTCACCGCTGGAGTGCAGCCAATTGCGGCTGCCTGGGCTAACTAACGCCAGCTAGCAGGCTAACTTGGGAACGCGACCGATTGTGCTTGCCACAGACGAGCGCCCGTCGTGAGCGGGGAAGCAAAAAAAAAGCATTCAAATCAGTGCAGTGGAAGGCACAAGTTTTTGTCCGGAGGTTTACCGCGTGCGCCGAGGCTAGCCACGACTAGCCGCTAAGCCGAATGCGCGTTAGCTTCCGAGGCTACATCCGCAAAGGTTGCGGCTGCCTTTCACGCATTCCGGCTGCAAAAGAGCCGCTCGGCAAGTTGATTCTACAACGGCGACACGCGGCGGCCACGTCGCTCCAACCACTCGACTCGGTCATTTTTCTGACCTGTTGTCGCCGAATCCGATCGCTTCGCTCTCTGCCTGCTCCGCCATTACAGGAAAATGCAAGCAGCCTCTTCCTGGAAACGCCCCGAAATCCCTTCCTCGATTTCCATTCGACGGAGCGCGCCGTCAATCGCGTGCCGCTTGACCTCCGATTGGTCGCGTCGCCTCCAATGGGGCGCCGCGTCTTTGTTCGCTCACAATAACACCCGCGCGCTCATTGGCTAATTTCTCCCCATTCGCGCACTCGCGTGGACTTCTTTTGGGTCCGGTTTGTGTTGCGCTGCGCCGGGTTCGGTTGTTGAACGGTCGCGTCGCACAGAAAGTGAATGGTCATTTCCCCCAAAGGGCAAAAGTACTGACACTTTGTGCCGAACAAGTACACGCGACTCGCACTCAAGCCAACCAACCCCATCTTGCACAGTCATACATGGCAATGGCGAGTGATGAAAAAAGCGGAAGGGGCGCGGCCTGGACGGGGGCGTGGTTACTTACAAAAGTGGCACTAAACATGCTGAAGATGAAGTGTATTAAATTTACACAGTTTGAAAATTGAACAGAAAAAAATCCCAAGATCGCCACTATTCTTTCAAGTGAAAATTTGTGCAATTTTGCCTATGCATTCCTGGTGAGCACCAATATGTAACTCCAAATTTGCTGCTAAAAATAAAAACAAAAAAAGAAAACACATCCCCTGCCATATTTAAGATTTGTTCATGACTTGTATTCATAAAGTGTTGTGTAAATGTGATAAAAAGCTGTTGATTCTTACCTCATACAGTGATAGTGAATATTTATTATGCATACAATTTATTATGCATAACCGTGCTTTATTATCCAAGACAAAACGTGAATTATCAATATGAATATAAAACGCAAATAAAAACAAATAAATGTTATCATGCTGTTGCTACAAATGCATACCAAATAAAAGTGAAAATATCATCCTCGTATATTTGAATAAAAAAGTATATACCTCGGAGTGTACCTGTCTATCGGCGA